TTATTTATTTATTTATTTATTTATTTATTTATTTATTTATTTATTTATTTATTCAAGGAAAGCTGCCAATCTGCTCTGGTAGAGAGATTTTCCTTACCTGGGCATTCCCTATATCAATGAAGTCACAGATTCAGGCCATATCCCCTATTATTGTTATTATTATTATATTTCCACTGTTCTACTTTGAAAGGAGAAGGGGAAGAGAAAGGGAACCGGAAGATGGAGAAAGTCCTATGTTTAGAACAGAGGCTTGATTTTTAAAGGTGAATGACCAATATGTGTATGCTCCCTTTGTGTCCATGGATAAAATAACACTTTCCTTTCCAGTTTGTAAGTCACCTACTAACAAGAAAACACTTGCTTATTAGGTAGTTGAGGGAAATGTAAGTAAACCTATAGTAGCAGTTTCATTATTTGAGGAGGATATTAGCTTGAAGGTGAGAGAAAAGAAGGAAATATATTTTCATCAGAAATGAGGAAGTGAAATAACCATGAAATAAAAAGTAACTATTTTTTTTAAATAGCGAGATAATATTAGCCCCTTCTATCAATTAGCAACTTGGTGTTTTACATCACTTCTCAATATTAGTTATACTATATCAAGTGCATTACCCCATCTCCCAAACACACACTTTTCATTATCTTTTACTCTTTCTACTCCCAACCCTATGTATGACCCTATATCTCTCCTATAAAATCACATAACTTCACAACCTGTACCTATATAACTTTTTTTTTATCAAGTTTAACCAGATTGATCTTTTACTAAATTTTTTTTCTCTCAAATGTATTGGAAAAGTGAGAGCACAGCGTCCTGGGAAAGGGACTGAGTTTTGAATTAGGGGATAAGGGTGTCAGGTATGGCTCTCCTCATTGTGGGATTTGAAGCAAGGCATGTCACTGTTTTAATACTGCCTTCAAAATTGAATTTAAGTAACTAAGCAGTTTCTATTATAAAACATCAGAGAGGGATTTCAGGTGAAGGAGAAGTGATTTTAAAGTGGAAGAGACTTTAGGAGTTTAAGTGACTTATCCAAGGTTACATAGGTGATTATTGGCAAAGAAGGGATCTGAAATGGATACTTTTGGGCAGCATGACATAATGGATAGAGTGTTGACCCTAGAATTAGGAAGACTCATCCTCAAATCCTACCTTTAACACATTATCTTTCTGGGTCTTACCTTTCTTGTCATTAATCTGAGGGGGCTGAACTACAGGATTCAAAGATTCTGTGATGTTGTCAGCACAAGGACACAATCAAGATCTCATTGACTACAATACTGTAGATCAACGTGCCCAGCAGAGAGGGTATACTGTATTTGCTAATTAAAGTAATGCATCTGTGACTACGATATCAAAGCAATCGGGGAAAAAAAAATGAGAAAAATTTTCTTCCTCTTCCCTCCCCCCACCCCAGGAAAAAAACAAAAACAAAAACAAAACCTTTAGGAATCTAAAGTTGAAAGAGACGTTAGATAACGTCTAATCCAAATGCTTTATTTCACAAATCAGGAACTGAGGCTCAGATGAGTTAAATGATTAACTTGAGGACATAATTATAATAAGTTACACAGTTAATATTAAAATTCAAGTCCTCAGGCTCTGAATCCATGGCCTTTTCCACTAAGCCCCACTGTCTCACTTGACCAAACATTTTCATCACTTCCTTTTATTAAAAATCCATTTGTGAATGGTGTTAGAGCACACACATCTTTCCAAGACATTCATATAACTGGTCTTCACTCACATCAGTTCCTAATTGAAAATATCTCCAGAAAAATACATACTGGCTTCCCTACCTTTCTATTATGTGTCTCATTCTTTCTTTGGCCATCACCCCTCCACAATTCCAGTACTAAAACACACACCTTCCCGGTACTCTGGTAAAGTTGCAACAAATATGAAAATTGAACCTCTTCAGCTAAGTATAAATGATTTCACCCACCATCACTTAAGTATCCATGAATCCCATTCCTTACCAGTTCACCATGAGGACAGCATTATTGTCAGCAATGAATGGCAGTTCACCTCTTGCATCCCACAAAACAAAGAAGATCCAGAGAAGATGTTGGTGCATCTCCAAGGAAACTTTACTAGAAGCAGAAGAGGGAGGAAACAAATCCCCACCCCCACTGAAAATAAGGAATCTCTCCTCTTGAAGACTGTTTTTGCTTCTGTTTTCTTCCTCTTCTCTTCTTCCACCTTAGGGAAGAATACTGGAATTTTAGGTAGGATCCTTGGAAATTTGCACTCAGTTTTTGTGCTTATCACCCTTAGACCCAAATTCAGTTTCTTGTCTTTGGATTTAGGCTAATAAAAGAAGTAACATTCATATACATCAGTTTTGTGTGATGCACTGAGCTACATCTGGGCAGTCTGTATTCTGATTGTAGGCTGGATGGCTCAGAGAGCAAGACGCAGATTATAACCAGGGATTAGTAAAAAGCAGAAATCCGATTTTACTCAGAGAAAACCTCATTCAGCAATGGATTTGGTGGTCTTCATCAAGCTCTCCAGAAGCTGGTAATCAGGGTCTCTTGGGAAATATGTTCTAAGAAATTCCATTTATTCTCCTCCCTCCTCTAACTAACTCTTTTCTATTTTTTTTTCAATGAATAAATGTTGTTTGGATAAAACTAACACTTTCCAATAAATACTCAAAAAGAAAAACACTTAAAGAAAAATCCACTCCAGTATATTCCCACAATTAAACAAACCTACCTAGTTGAGTGATTGTGACTGAAAATACATGTCATTTTCTACTTTTGTAATATATCAATAGTAACAGTGAGCCAATCAAGAAGCATTTATTTTAATGCATTTTATTTACTTTGTTAAATGCTTCCCAATTACATGTAAATCTTTAAACATTAAGTTTCAAAATTTTTCAGTTCCAAATTTTGTCCCTCCTTTTTGTCTGTCATCAACTCCTTGAGAATTCAAGCAATTTGATACTGATTGTAAGTGTGAGGTCGTACAAAACATATTTCTATACTAGCCATGTTGCAAAAGAAAACAGACAAAAAAAGCCAATAAAAATAAAGTAAAAAAAGTATGCCTCAACTTGCATTCAGGTTTCATCATCTGGAGGTGGATAGCATTTTTCATTACTGGTCCTTTGGAATTCAACAAGCATTTATTAGCACTTATTATGTGCCAAGAAACAGAAAGGATGAATGTTTTAACTTAAATAGTTTAGTATCAACATTATCCAATGTATATGACATGAATTTTATTGCCCTGTAATGCTGTTTTTATATGTGTTGTTGGAGCCTTTGTGTATATTGTTCTTATGGTTGTGTTTTCTACAGTCTACATCATTTCATTCAAGTCTTCCTCTATTTCTGTCTCCTATTTTCTTCATTTTCCTCATTGCCTATGTCACAATAATATGCCATATAATATGTCATTATTTTATACATAAATTTATTTAGCTATTCTGCAAACATTAAACCATTTCTTCCTGCTTATTGTTATTTTAAATAATACTGATATAAGTAATTTGTGTAAACAATTTGTCTTTTCTTACTGTCATTAAACTCCATAGAGTACTAGTTCTTAAAGTTTTGTCAACTTAAAAAAATTGATAAGTTTTTTTTCAATATAACTGGTTTCCTTTGTAATCCTATATATTTTATGCATTTAAAACATTATTCTGATAAGGCTTCACCAGCCTTCCAAAAGGGTCCCTCACACACACATACACATGTGTATACACATACATATATAAACACATCCACACATGCATGTATTATACTCAGCAATGAATGGCATATTTATTATATATAGATATTTGTCTATATACATATGTATATATACATATACATGCTTAAACACATATGTGTATGCATATAAGTATAGAATCTCTGACCTAGAATTTAAGTCTAGTATAAGAATCTCTGGTCAAAAGATGTGAATAATTTAGTCTTTTCTTATATAATACCAATTTGTTTTTTAAGACTGATCTGATTATTTAATAGTTCTGTGCTTATTTTCTGAAAGCCCTCAAGACATCAAAAAAAGTTCCCATCTTTATCAATCTATATTTCTGTGATGATCATTAACATTAAATATTTTATTAGTTGGCTGTTTATTGTTTTTATTTCCTCTTTTGAAAACCATTTATTTATATCCTTTACCACTTAGATGTCAGATTTTTATCAACTATGTAAGATTTCCCCTACATTTTTATAATTACATATAGTTTAAAATATTAATATTAAAATGGAAAACATTAAAATATAATTTTCTAATTATAGTAGCAACAATCTTATATTGGCAAAATATTTTTATTTAATTTTCTCTAGTACCAACCTGTGACTGAGTTAGTGTAGAAAAATTCCTGTGAGGAAATCCAGGCCCTTCCTCTCCCCTGCCAATCAATACTGATCTGAAAGTCCTGAAATTTATAGTTTTAGAGAGTTGCTGAGGGCACTGAGAGGTTAACCGCTTTGCCTAGAGTCACATAATTAGGTATTTCTCATTCTGAGGACCTCAATCTATTCACTATTACAAAAGACTCTTATGTAATCGAAGTTATCTATTCTGTCTTTTATAAACTCTTCTGGCTATGAATTTTTCTGTTATTCACAGTTGTGAAATTTTATATAACCTTTCATTGTCCTCTAAACTTTTTGTGATGTGCCTCCTTTTCCCCACTCTCCTTTAAAAATGTTTAATATGAAACTGAAAAGCTATGAAATGAACTTTGCTCATTAATAGCTCTTATGAATACCTCCATTGTCATCTGCACTAATACTCCAGCTGAAGAAATTATATGCTTTCTAAAGTTTCCAGAATTCTCCATAAGGGATTTACTAATTTCTGGTGACGTGTTTATTTTATTTCTTTTTTAGGTGAATACACAATAATGACAGCACATTTTCATTTGAAAAGAAAGATTGGTTACTTTGTCATTCAGACTTACCTTCCCTGCATAATGACAGTGATCTTATCCCAGGTATCATTTTGGCTGAACAGAGAATCAGTCCCTGCTAGAACTGTTTTTGGTAAGTTTACATAACTGTGTTTTTGTAAGGTACTGGGCAGCATTTCCTTGACTGGTTATTTCTTACACATCTTCCCTCATCTAAATTTTCACAGGTTTTATATTGCATTCTTAATCAGGCATGCACACATTTCCTTCTCTTGGGATTTTTCTCTATCAAAGATTTCCTCCAGTTAGTTAATGGCCAAAGAAATAAGAATGAGGCAAATATGGAGTTTGTTATAATAGGGAAATTTAGTGTCCTTTATTGCGTGTGTGATAACATATTCAGTTCAAAATTATTTTCTTTAGAATATGTTTAGCATTTCAGTGTTACTTCAGCAAGGCCTGGTACATCCAAAGACAGAAGTCCATTTGCATAAGATTCTTCCTCATTACCTATGAGGAGTGGGATATCAAGTAATCAATCTTTCCATCGATGAGGAGAGTCTGTACAAATGGACTTGAGCCTTGAGATACCCTGACTAGTTCTGCTGTGCTGGAAAATCTTTACCCACTATCCCAAGGGCAAGCTGTATCTGTTTTGGGATCATCAACCTAAGTACAATTGCATAATTTGCAGTATACCATCATTAATGTCTGTATCTATATGAGAAGACAACCACAGGAGTATGGCTTCTATGTGATGATTTCCATGGGCTAGGAAATAGATAAAAAATAATCATCCAGCCTTTAAACCACTTCTGCAATGAAGGTAGCAGAGTGGAAAAAAAGAGGTGGAGGATACTAAAAATGATGTAGTTTTTAGATCATCTCTAAACATTAACTTAAATTTTGGTCCTCTTTTATTAACTAGAGTTCATTTATCATTATTTTCAATGTAATAAATCTCTTTTCATAATGGATGATTAATGAATTTATATTGGTTTCAATTGTCAAATTTCATTACTTCTGATAGACAGCCACCTTGTCATTTTATACTGATGATTGTGTGGTTTGTCCTAAGTTCTTGAAGAGGACCATGACATCAGGGAGACAATGAGATAGCTTGCAATCAAATTAGATTTGAGTGAGGGAGGGCTGTGCAAAGTCACCAGCCTCACTTTCTCCTCCCATAATGATGATAGCTACATTTTATCTTAGTAAACTATTAACATATACAATCATTAAGGTTAAAAAAGTAAGTTAATAGAAGTTCTCATTTTTATCTTTGCCAGAACGTTATCTTTAAAAAAGAACTATAGTTTTAAGTTGGTCACACACACACACACACACACACACACACACACACACACACCCCCACCACCATCACCACCACCATGAATGATACAGATATAAAACACATACAAATATGCCTATATTAATTCTTACAATGAAAGCTTTACGTAGATTTGTGTAAAACTACACCTATCCACATGTATACATATATATAATATGTCAATATAATACAATATTATATAACTAGCATAATATGATATAATATGTCTTACTAGACCCTCCCCTAATAATAATCTATTACAAATTCTTAGAAAGTTGCCAGAGGCATTGAGAAATTAGGTGGCTAGCTCATGAGTGTAGTCATAACACGTCAAGGACTGGATGTGAACCCAATTAGGTCTTTCTTCCTTCAAGATAAACAATATATTGACTATACCATGTTGCATTTCTGTTTTGTTAGTAGAATCAAAATGCTTGTGGTAAGGATTACCTCTGTGTTTGGGAGGTTATACTAGTGGAATATACATTTCAAACTCTAAGACACCAATGATTCTAATTTTCTAGAACTATTACAGTTATTCTTTCCACATCATTGGGTTTAGGGGCACAATATCCACACAGTCTGGAAAATCCTTATCAAATTTTTGGCCCTCCCTTTGTACCAGAGAAGTCTGAATTTTTTTTTCTTTTATGGGGTAAGTTTTAATTTGGTCGTAGGCTCTGTGTTGTGTATAAGCCTTTGCATATCATCTGCAGCTTACACAAACTCCCCCATAATTCCCATTTAATTTCTTATGCCAACCCAAGATATATCTAAACCTCTGTGGTAAAAGTTATGATGTGGAAGGGATAACCATAATTAGAAGAATGTTTTAAGGTGAAAAATATTTCTTTATAGCATTTGGTTAAGAGTATGGAAGAGCAAATAGAATGTAACAGTAATGAAATACACAAATTTGGGAAATTTTAAAGTGAATTTTGTTTATGATAAATCTTCAATTTCAACCTGGATGTCTTAACAAGGTATATATATATCTATATATATCTATATAGATATATATATTTCTGCGCAGTATATATTCTTTAGATATATACTGTGTCAGGTAATTTTTGGGAAATTGAGGATCTAGATTTGACCTGTTCAAGAAAAAAATGTTATTATAGGATTTTAATACAATACAACATACACCCTACTTATCCAGAATTCTTGGGGAATGGAAAATGTAAGGTGATAAGTATAAGGTCCCTCCCATAGTAGTGTTCTAGATTCACTTTGAACCCTCAGGCAAATCCCTGAAATGATTGGAGTTTCCCTGGACAACCTTCCAGTTTCTCATATCCACCTGGACCTAGAACAATCAAAGGAAGAGACTCTATAGGAATTAGTAAACCGAAAGAAAAAATCCAAGAAATAATTTTATGCAACTACAAAAAATACAGATGGAGAAAATTAAACAGTTAACTGAAGTATAACTCTTAAGAGTGTCATTTCCCCCCCTTTTAAAAGAAACTTGATTGGAAATCTTTCTAAATATTCATACATGTTTAAAAAGAGGATACTGAACATAATTAAACATAGTCGAACTTTTTTCTGATTGACTCAAGGTTATCGTTACAGACATTCACTATTCTATTACGGCATAATATGCAGCACAATTTTGTATATGCTTTTATTTTTTATGGGCTCCTCTGAGACTGAAAATTAACTAGTCTAATTCTTGTCATTATTCTTCCCACTAGTAATCTCCCATTCTGTATTTAATTTGTTGTTTTTACTATTCTGTAGAATAGAATACCAATTGATCCAATTTGTCAGGAATTTTTTTCATGGAAAATCATAGGATCATAGATTTAGTGCTTTTTTTAAAAAAATTTTTCAGTTGTATATAACTCCTCATGATCCCATTTGGGGTTTTCTTGGCAAAGATACTGGAATGGTTTGCCATTTCCATCTCCAGCTCATTTTACAGATGAGGAATTGAAGCAAACAGGGTTAAGTGACTTGCCCAGGATCATATAGTAGTAAGTGTTTTAGGCCAGATTTGAACTCAGGAAGATGAGTCTTCTTGACTTCAGGCCCAGCACTCTATCCTCTATACCACTTAGCTTCTCTTAAAAGGGATCTTAAATGTCATCTATTCAACCTTCTTATTTTATAGATGAGAAACTTTAAGCTTAGAGAAGTTAAATAACTCATCCAAGATTACATAGGTAGTTAGAGACATCTAGAAGTGGATAGACTTATGTGCTAGAGTTTTGTGAAAGTTATTTGAAGATCTCAGAGATCTTTTCCATTTATTTTTGAGACAGCAACAAATTAAATCCAATAAACATTTATTAAGTGATTATTATGTTCCATCACTATGTTATATACTGATTTTTTAGCTATGTTCTGTAGGTTTGAGGAAGTTGGAAATCTAATCTCTTAATTAACATGGAAAGGAACTAGCAACAGTAAGGCATTATTTTTAATTGCTATCTAATTTTTGTGGAGAAGGAAATGGCAAACCACTTCAGTGTCTTTGCCAAGAAAACCCCAAATGGGGTCATGAAGAGTCAGAAATGATTAATTGGGGCAGCTAGGTAGCATAGTGGATAGAGCACTGGCCCTGAAGTCAGGAGGACCTGAGTTCAAATCCGGCCTCAGAACAAACACTTGACACTTTCTAGCTGTGTGACCCTGGGCAAGTCATTTAACCCAAATTTCCTAAAAAATTAAAAAAAAAGAAATGAGTAATCAACACAACAACCACAACAAAATTTGAAGAATTGTACCTTCAAATTGATACCTGTCCCCTTGCCCAAATAAACATAGTTCATAAATGAGAAATAAGATGGTTCAGGAAAAGGAAAAAATTCAATGAATGTGAAATCAATACTTTGAGTCTAGGCCGAGTTCTGCCACAAACTAGCTTAGGGAGATTTAGGTAAGTCCCTTTCTACTCTGGGCATTGATTTTTTTCATTTGTAAACTGAAGTTCTTGGACTACATGTTCTTTAAAGCTCCTTTCCACTCTAAAATGCTAATGTCTATTTTAAATATTCATCACCAAAATTAATGAAATACTGAAATGAGAACCTAAGATGCATCATTTGACACACCTTGGCAATGTATCAACTTTTTAAAAGTCCCATCTCATTCTGTATATTACAGGATATTAAATATTAACATATATTGCATTTCAACAGCTTCATACAATGCTTCAAAGTCAAATAAATGAATATAGTTTAATACATGGTTATCCTTCCATGCTATGGCAACAGGGATCGTTGTCTAGGAACAAGGAAGTCTTCTTTCTGACTAGGTATCTCTGTTTTCTTGACTCTGAGGTTCTAGTTCATTTTCACCTTTCAAGAAATTTGTAAAGATGAGTGAGTGTCTAAGCATTTTTCTTGTGTGTTTTATCTTATAGGGGTTGAATATTATTGGTTGTGGTTATTAGGATCCTCTTTGTTCTGGTGGCATGGGACATTTTCTCCTCCTTGTTTTGGAAAGTTCACGCCACATGCTCCTTTCTCTTCCATATACCTTCCAGATTCTCCTATTTAATTGGATTTAGGGGGACCATAAAGAGAAAAATATATAAGGCAAGGGTTATTTCAGGGAGAAGTTGTAGTCTTCATGGTCAACAGCAACACCTGTACCCTTCAAAAAGCCATTGAATAGGATACTATCTAATTTCATATAATCTAAAAACCTGAGAAATAACACCTGTCAGTAGGCGGCATAGTGTCTCTACAGTTGAATACCTATTCTCCTCCAAAGCCAGAGAGGAATGCCAAGCATCACCTTTTACAGACTAATTTTTAAAATTTATTTTATTCTGAACTTAAGAAATAAATATTAATGCAACCTTATGACAGATTAGCATTCTAATTTTGGAAAAATGAAGGGCCAGGGCAGATGAAAGCCTAAGTTCAATCAATCTCTTCTTTCTAACTTTGCCTCATAAATATGCAGATTTAAGTAGGATTTAAGATATTTAAAAATAAAATGCACCTGTGTTTTTATACTGACCATTAATCCCCACTTTACATAGGGACAACTAACCTTTTTCTGTTGTATGTATGTTGCATTGATGATAATCTTTTAAAGTTGTTATCATCCTCTAAGCTTAATATAGCACTAAGAAAAGATAAAGATGGTTCCACAGCCACTAAGGGACATGGATCATATTAATTCATTCTTTGATTTATTTAATAGTAGTTGGATTTTATGTTTTTCTCCAGAGGGCTCAAGGTGCTGATACTAATCTGTTTCCTTTCCTCTCATCTTCGTTGCCTGGTATTTCCAACCAAAGGAGTAACTACAGTGCTGACAATGACAACCTTGAGCATCAGTGCCCGAAACTCTCTGCCCAAAGTTGCTTATGCAACAGCAATGGACTGGTTCATAGCTGTGTGCTATGCCTTTGTGTTTTCTGCATTGATTGAATTTGCGACAGTGAACTATTTTACAAAGAGAGGCTGGGCATGGGATGGCAAAAAAGCTCAGGAAGCAGCCAAAAACAAGGTGCTTATTTTGATTTTTCCTTTTCCATGCTAAGAATGTGTGTTTTATCTCCTGCTGGATCTGAATGATTTAGAGATTGATTGACCATAGAGATTATTCAGGTCCACTATTTCTCCTCCCTTCTGCTTTTGGATCATTTGACCCTTTATGACTACTCATATCAGATCAGGGTTCACTTGTTAGGGAAGATTTAAGAATTAAATAGGCCTCAAAAGTAAGGTAGAGGAGAGAGAGACACAGAGAGAGAGAGAGAGAGAGAGAGAGAGAGAGAGAGACAGAGACAGAGAAAGAGACAGAGACAGAGAGAGAGGCAGAGAGAGAGGCAGAGAGACATAGGGAGAGACAGAGACACAGAGACAGAGAGAGAAGGAGACAGAGACAGAGACAGATTGAGACAGAGACACAGAGATAGAGACACCGAGACAGAGATGGAGATGGAAATAGAGACAGAGGTATATGTATGTGTATATACACACAGTAACTTAGTGAGGGACATGGAGGACATCCTAGTGAGTATCAGCATATTGCATGTGGGGAAGAGGATAGTAAGGAGCTTGGCTTAACTAAAGGCCATGCTGTGAGCATTGGAATGCACTTAGGATTTTTTAACAGAAATGATATGATGAGAACAATGTGGAAGAAAGAACTAGCAGTGGCATGAAGATGACCTAAAGGAAGACAAACAGTGGAGACAATCAGGCTGATTCGTGTGCTATTACATTAACTGGGTTTGAGGTGAAATGGGTCCTTACTAGCTGGATGATAGTGAGAAATAAGAAATAAATCTCAGGGGCAAGTGAAAATGGCAGGTTGACCATCCAAGTATCTACAATCAACAATTGTGTTTAGATAGAGCTTAAGCCTGTCTGCTACTTGATACAACTCTGAACAGAGATTTGCTGGCAGAGGAAGTTCAAATTAATGGACAAAATAAAGTTTATGGATAAAGATGTGGATCTCACATATTCACACATCATCTTCTTTGAATAATCAAGAGGAATATAATAGCCTTGGAAAGATTCTTTAGTTCTCATCATTGAATTTCCACTCTTTAATTTTACAGATGGTATCAATTTCATAAAATCTCCTAATTTCTTGAATTAATGTATTCCTATAGTATGCATCATCAGACTAATGAAATATCTAATGAGTTGCACATAGTTGCTAAATTCCAAAGGAAGTCTATAATAATAGTAGTCCTATGCATTTAAGGAAGAAGAACTTCACATGTTAAAGTAACATAATTTGAGAGACACATATAAACTATCAAGCAAGATTATTTTTATGGGATTTTACATTTCTAATAGTTGTGTAGAATAGCACTAATAAACTCATGTTAGAATAAGTTAATTTTGTAATAAGTCAATGTTATAATCTGTTACAAATTTTCTCATTAAAATGTAAGTTCCTTAAGAGGGCTGTTTTTTCCTTATCTCTGTATCCCCAGAAATTAGTTTGACACATAGTAAATAGTTAATCAGTATTTTATATATATATATATATATATATATATATATATATAAACTTAGAAAAAACTGAGCTAAAATAGAGAGGCAATCTGTGGCTTCAAGGTAAACTTGAAGTTCTAAGTCCTGCATTTCATTACTGCCTTTCTAGTCTACTGTTTCTTTTTCTATAAAATGAGAGGTTGGACTTCACAACCTCTAAATTCTCTTCTAATTTGACCTCTACAATCCAGTGATCCTATGACTGATGTTAGGCAAAAAATAGAAATGTTTAAGAGGACTCTGTCTTTTGCCATTTTCCTTGGCAGGTAGTAATGAGGCCATGGGATTGACAGCCAACCTGGGGATTATATGCTTATGTAGCTAAATTGACTTCCTTCTTTCCTCCTTCCTTCTTTTTCTTACTCTCTCTTTCTTTCCATAAGATCTTACCTTTTTGTAAGATTTATGAGGATTATATTATATTCTGATGAATTACTTGATAATTATATGGCTTATAAGGACTTAAAACTGGAGTCACTAGTAAATACTGAGGAATGTGTGTGTGTGTGTGTGTGTGTGTATGTGTGATAGTCTGTCAATTTAATCATTCTGCCAACATTATCTTAAAAAACAAAACAAAACAACTACTAAAGTGGCAATGGGAGAAAGGAAATAATTGTATCTGCTACATCTCTCTTCCCCTGTGCTTTCAAATAGGTTGTAAGCAACATGATCTGCTTACCTTTTTACGTATTTTGCAGAAAAAAGAGCGTGAAATATTTATTAATAAATCAACAAATGCTTACAATACTGGAAAGATGACCCATCCTCCAAACATCCCAAAGGATCCAACTCCCTCAGGGATCTCAAATGCAACTCCTGTTCCAGTAAAACCTGCAGAGGAGAAGCCTCCTGAAAGTAAAAAGACTTACAATAGCATCAGCAAGATTGACAAAATGTCCCGAATTGTTTTCCCAGTCCTGTTTGGCACATTCAACTTAGTCTACTGGGCAACATATTTGAATAGGGAACCAGTTATTAAAGGAGCCACTCCCCCAAAATAAGTTTCAGGACTCCCAAACCCTATGAGAGCCATACTTCCAGCAAAAGGATACCAAGGAGAAATTTGAGCTCTACAAGACTTTTGATATTTGGGCAACATCTTTCAGGAAATTTTTGCATGTTTAATGATATGTACAAATAATATTGCCTTGATTGTTTTTACATGTAACCTCAGATATTTCAAAGAAGTGACATTGACAATGGTGGCTACACAATATTCTAGAAGGTCAGAAGATGCTGAATAGCACCCAACTGTTCAGGGTCTTACATTGCTAGTTTACAAACAAGACAAGGTATATTTTTTAACTGCTCCAAGTATTACATAACAATGTTTTTTATACTTCAAATGTCAATTCATACTAATTTTCCCAGTTGATAAAAATATTTTGGGAATTGTTCCATGATTATTACCTGACCAAAAATCCAGGTCATAAAGATTGTAAAGAACATAATTCTCATTTTAAAGAAACTATGAGCTTTCACATACGGACTACATTACCTTTGTTAATACCCACTTTGTTCTAAAATTTAAAAAGTATTGCATGAGCTTATGTTAGGAAATAAAATAAGAAAATATTTATGTAGACAAACTTTAATGACAGAAATATGCCATATGTTACACTAACAGAATATTCTCCCCAAAACAAACAACTCTGGATAAATTTCTCTTGGAAAAAAAAAATCATGTTTCTCCCCATTAAACAAAATAAGTAACACAGAAAAGGAAGTGAAACATGAGCATGGAAAAATGGTTTAGAGACAACATTGGAATTTTGGCCCATGTATTAAATGTATCTGAGACATACCATCTCCTCGCTACTGTCAGTGTGTTTTGCTTCAGTGGTGAGAATCTGTAATTAGTTATTTTCAATTTTCTGCCTTGTAAGTAATTCATGACTGATTCATTGCTCTAGTAGCTTTTGTAAATTAATCTTAAATGTTTATTAAATAAAAAAATTCTACTCTTGTGGGTAAATGTCATCTTTTATAGCAAACATTAAGTTTTTGCTGGAGTTATTTTTTAAACAAATTCATGAAGAAAATTCATTCAATAAATAGCTTGACAAATTGTTGTCAGGTTGTCTTTATTTCTTTGGGTCATGTTTTTATTTAATCTATCATGATGTTTGGTAACAAGTATAGTTTTCCAAAGTTGGAGATTAAATTCATATAAGCTCACCAAAAGTCTAGAAATGAAACATTATTTCCCCCATTTTCTTGAGTTAAATAGTACTGTCCATACCTTCTCTTACTCATTGCCTAGATTATGCAGTCTTCTTTTTGAGAATTCCCTGAAGGAGGAGTAGCCATACATACTATGCAACATTCACCAGGTCAGTGGGACCACCCTCAGTTTATTTTGTTTACACATTAATGTAATAAAATTATCACAAGATAAGAAGACACTGTCTGGGGGAAACTTTCAGGTGATACATTGATGAAAAGATCTCTCCTATTTTTTTTTTTTTTACTTTTGGTTCAACATACTTGATTAAGACAAAAGAGAAAGTCAAGATATATCTTAGTTCTGCCTGCATTTGTTTTACAAACAGCATGGGATAGCCAAGCGTTTTTTAACTGGTGGTGTAAAAATTAATGAAGACTTTAAATAAAGTTCATATTCCTATAAAGTCCCATTTAGATACTTATGTTGGACAAAAGCCAATGGACTAAATTATGGAATATCTTTGTCTTTTGTTTGAGTAGATAAATTAGAGACACTCATCGGGGTGGCTAGGTCAATATTTAGGTCCCAGAAACTCTTGAGAACAAGGAACTAGTAAGTTAAAAAAAATTGCAATCTGAATAGGTAAAGAGAGTGCCCAGGCTGATGAAAGCACAGATCTTTCAAATATTCAATTACTTAGAACAAAATAAGACCTGTGTTACTGGTTGCAATCTCATCTTATAAATGAGAACAACTTATTATATCCCCCTGTGTACTTCAAAGATGTAGTTTGAATATTATAGCTGAATCCATATTACAATGAAGCAATTTATAATAGGTTTTACTACCCTGACTATAGTCATTGCATTTTTCTAAGCCTCTTCTAAAGACGTAATTGTGATATGTGTAACACTGTGGAACAATTAGCTCTCAGTTATCTGTGACAATGAGAAGAAGGATGGACTTTAATCATTGAAACAAAAAATTCCCACCTTTCCTTTAAGTTTTAACAATCAATCTTTCATCAATTGAGGTAAATTTAAAAATTGCAAAATTACTTGTTCTATATTTCACTTCCTATCCTTTATAGTAGAGGGGTCAAACATATGGTGCATGCATCACACAAGAGTACTGAACTAGACTAAAATGCATTTCCTATCTGATTTTAATATGTTGATCTAGTAATAAAAAAAAAGAAATATGTAAACATATGTAAAGTATATGTCTTAGTCAATATGCAACCCATAGGGATCTTTATTTACAGTTTAGTGGCCTCTATTCTACTTAAGCTTGACAACATAGCCTTAGAGGCAAATGTATTTTGAAAAGTAGTGAAAAATCTAAAACATGAGAGTCAAAGGCTATCAGGTAAATCTCATTTTGTATAATACACATTTGCAAGATTTTGAAAATTCCTAGTATCTTAATATATGCTTTATCTTTTCTATTTTTTTATGATGTTTTTGAGAGGTTTTTTTTTGGCTATCATTTTAATAAAGGAACACTTACTTTGTTCAAAGTCCTATTAGCTTAAGTACAATAAAGATCTCAAGAATAATTAGGGAATCTGAAAGTCAACAGAGATCTTAGAAATCCTTTAGAAATCATTACAATCTGTACCTGACCTTATTATCCCTGAGGCGAGTGGTTTCAATCTCAAATAGGAAAGGGTGGGAAGTTCGCTAAACTTACATAAGGACTCCTATGGACTACATATTGTCTTAGAAAATCACATATTAATATTATATTTGTTTTGTTGTATAAACATTTTCCACTTTTAGTCTGGTTTAGCCTGGACACCTTTAGTAGAGAGTCTAGACAACAATTCCAACAAGGGGCAGCCAGCCTCTGCTTAGTTTCCTGTAGCGAAAAGAACACTGAGCACAAAAGTAGGAAGATCTGGCTTTGAATCATTTCAATTCTAGGGGTTTTTATTCCTTACACATTACACATACTAAGTATTTTTTTTTCATTAAAAAAAGATGAAACATTAAAAGATTAATTAAATGACCTCTAAGTTAGTGCTTGACTACTCCACTGTATTTTTGCTCTGTTCCCAGCAAGTGTTATGGATTCCTCTCTTTGGTTTAGTTCCCAGCTTTTCAGCTCCATCCAACAGATGGTGCTCTTCAACTACCCTCTTTAAGATATACCCCTGAGCAGCTGACCCATACACTGATCTTGAGCTGGCAGAACTATAGCTCTTTAGTGCTGCTAAGACAGGGAGCTCCAACCTGTTCAAATGTTCTATTATTGTTGTTGTTAATTTGTTTTAACAGCCCCCAAAATATCTCCTAAGGAACTTGTAGCAAGACTTCTCTTCAGAAGGGTTTACACAGATCTCTGTTTTCCACTTTATTGTATTCAGGGTTAATATAAAATTGCTCATCTCCCTTTTCCCCAGTGCAGGACAGTTTGTATACTATTCATGTAAACTACTAAGTCTTTTGTGGTTCAGAGAGGCAATACTACTCTTTTTACATTCTGTTTACAATTTTCCTCTTGGGCAGTAGAGCTAGTTAATTCAAGTTGCTCTGGCCTCCAAAAAGGGAGTGGGAGAGACTTTCAAAACAAGGACCTCTGACTCAGAGGTATAAGGCCAAAAAAAAAATCTGTTTTGTGTGTTGAGCACAGGGTTAGGTATTGGAGGATATTCTAAGTTTAGATAAGGCACTGTCCCTCTCCCATGAAACTTATAAAGTAATCATTCAGAAATGGGAGAGATTATTTTTGTTGTTGAATTGTTTCAGCTATGTCCAGCTCTTTTTTTACCCCATCTGGGGCTTTCTTGGCAAAGATGCTGGAGCAGTTTGCTGTGTCTTTCTCTAGCTCATTTTACAGATGAGGAACTGAGGCAAACAGGGTTAAGTGATTTGCTTAGGGTCACAGCTAATAAGTATCTAAGGCCAGATTTGGGCCCAGGAAGATGAATCTTCCTGACTCCAGGCCTTGCACTTTGTCCACTGTGCCACCTAGCTGCTCAGATTACTTTTAGTTATGAGATCAAGCCAGAGATAATATTGTTATTTTTATCTAAATATTCAACTTTGTATATATCCTAAGACTTTTTTTCTAAACCTATAAACAAATTTCAAAGAATATTCACTGAATAAATGAATTAATAATATTATTTCCCATCAGCATCCATTATACTTGGAAAGTAAAAAATAATTTAAAATTAAAATCAATTTTGAATCTTATGTGGTCCTATTCTTACCATACATCGATTTGTAAACATTTGGAGCACATAAACACATGCAAGCACTTTTAAATATTTATTCTAATTGAATGGTTACTGAGACTTGCAGATTAATAACTTTTTAATCAAGCAAAGAGTGAAATTTATTGGTGTAACTATAGACCTAGCCATATCTTTTAATGCCCTATTCAGCAACAAAGAATTACATGCATGAAGTACAAAAGATAATTAAAATTTTTAAATCAAATTTATTTTTATTTACCAAATACAAGCAGCAATGTTTAATAGAGAGACAGTAAAGCATATAGAAACTCATTTCAATGCTGAGGTGGAGTAACAAAAGCTGTTTCACATCCTTTTTTTGTTATTAGCTGTGTGATTTTGGGTACACCATTTCCTCCATGCAGGTCTCACTTTTCTCAATTGAACAATCAAGTGGCCATACTACATTATCTCTAAGGTCTCTCCCAGCTTTAAATTCTATGAAGTTCATCATTAGAACTGTTAGAGAGTTTTAGAAAATTCTTTTTAAGATTCCATTGCTAAATACATAATCCAAAAGGTTTCATTGAGAAAAAGAAAGGCTCCATATACATCAAAATGTTTATAATAGTATTTTTCTTGTGGTAGCAAAG